CCTCTCCCAGTCAAAACTCTATTGCTCTTCTGCAGTTTGCTGTAGACAGCAGGTAGCACATATTCTCTGAGGTAAATTATTTGAAATGACAGAGGGAACATATAAGGCAGCACTGAAATGAGTTTCAGTGGGGTAGCAACTTCTATTCAAACACACTGGTACGTGTTGGGGCACTCAAAGTTAAAATGCTGATACTGATGTTTGTGAATAATTTTTTTTGCTGTCTATTTTAGAAACTTGTGCATAGAGTACTGATTTTGCTACTTTGGGCCAAATATTCAGCTGGCATACATAAATGTAACTCTTTTAATGTTATTTACAAAAGTTTGAAGTACACCAACAATGCATTACTTTTTTTTTTTTTTTTTTTTTTTTTTAAGAGACTGGCAAGGATTAGAAAGAAAAAAAATCCCTTTCAAATCACCAGTGATTTCCTTTTCCAGAGACCGTTTAATATCCTAACTAGCACAAAGAAGAGCATTGGTGATTCTAATCCTCTTACCAGAGCCTTGGGAAACCAAAGTTTCTTGACTTCAGTTCAAGCTATGTTAAATAGCTTGTGAAGGAAGTGAAGGAAGACTTTCAGTGCTGCGATCACCACCCAATGTACAATTGACCCAAAGAACAATAAAGTAATTGGAAGATTAGAGAGAGAAGGGTGTGGGGAAGAAACTGCACTATTTGAGAGTCAGGCGAAAAAGAGAGGAAAGTATCTGGCTGACAGTTTATTGCACTATCTTTAATAGAAAAGAGAATAAAGCAAAAAGAATTTGGTTGTGAGCAATGTAGCTTTTCTCACCAACTCAATGACAAAAAGTGGCCAGACCAAAAATACACTCTGGCAAGGAAGATAACATCATGTGGAAGCCTGCAATGTTTTAGCTCTACTGGTGGGATCTGACAGCAGGTGAGCAGATTCTTTAGTATTAAACTAACTGATGCTAAAAGAATGTGATTTTATATACCTGATAGTATCCTGAGACTACTGTTCACCATATAATGCAAGCCATTTTTTGTTTTGATTTTATTTTTTGATTTTATACAATTTTTTGTAGCTGCCGAATTGCCTAGGCCAACTCATTCCTCACCAGAGCTGTGTAATCATTCAGATCCTGGTTAGGCTTAGATAGGGGTAATTGTAACATCACCCACTTCCTATCCCCAAAGTTAGCAGTGTGTTTTTAACCTAGAATTACTGTATGAACATTGACTATTGGAGCTAATATGTTATTTGTTGCTGATGGAGCTGATGGTTCTTTCCTGCGCCATCGAGTGCTGTGAACTCATTATGGTTTATCTAAATTTGTTTCTAGGAAGGATTTTTCATGGAAGTAGGCATTGTAATATTAATAGAAATCTTTCTTAGTGCATTTAAATTCAGTTAGTTTAAAGGCTGGATGTTTGCCTTAACGAAGAATTGGATTTCTTGGTGTGTGTCACCTGGTATATGGCTCTGCATAATATGCTGTATTGTATGGATTCATACTTCTATTGTCTTTTCATCTGAGCAGAGTTTGAGAGTTACTTTTAATGATTCATCTTGGATTTCTCCAAGTAACTCCGTTTTTAGTATTGCAAAGTGTAGCAATTGACACTGATAATGGAGCAGTTGCATGCTGTTTCTAAACAAGTATGTATGTTTGCATGTTTACTGCTTATTTTGTGTGGCAGGTGTAAAGATTTTTACCTTATTCAGCAGAGCATGTATGTATATTTTTGTCCTCAGTCCGATGATATTTCATTAGGGACCTCTGAGTCCCTCTGGGTCTGAGCCTTTGTCATCATTGTCAGCATTGCAGCAAGTAAAACTGTAAAAGAAAATCATTGCCTTAAGGTAGACAAAAATGGAATGAGGAAGAACTTTCCTATCTTTCTTAACTTTCTTAACATTGCTTGCTATTAGGATCGAAATCTCGTCAGTCCCTTCCCACACCTCCCAGAGTGATCATTTTCTGCATGGGCTTAATTAGAGCATCCCATGGTTTGGTCTTTGAGGTAGGCTCTGCTTTGTACTGACTGTCAGTTCCTGGGATATGCTTATTAATGCACTAAAAAACAGTGTGGTTTTCAGCACTTGAACTCCATGGAATGTTCACTGGGACGTGTGCAGAGTTATATAATGACAACCAGTTCCCTTAAATATAATATAATATAATATAATAATGTGGCTGTCAGGTGAGGTCCCGGATGACTGGAGGAAGGGTCACGTCACTCCCATATACAAGAAGGGGAGCAGGGAGGACCCGGGGAACTACAGGCCGGTGAGTCTCACCTCCGTGCCTGGGAAGATCATGGAACGGATCCTCCTGGACAACATGCTCGATCACATAAAGAATGAGCATGTGATCCGAGACAGCCAGCACGGCTTCACCAAAGGAAGGTCATGCCTAACTAATCTTGTGGCCTTCTATGATGGAGTGACGGCATTGGTGGACGAAGGGAAGGCGACTGATGTCATTTACCTGGACCTGAGCAAGGCCTTTGACATGGTCCCCCACCACATCCTCATCTCCAAATTGGAGGGAAGTGGATTTGATGGGTGGACGACCCGATGGGTAAGAAACTGGTTGAAAGGCCGCAGACAGAGGGTGGTGGTCAATGGCTCTATGTCCAGGTGGAGGCCGGTAACAAGTGGTGTCCCCCAAGGGTCTGTCTTGGGACCGGTGCTCTTTAACATCTTTATTAATGACATCGATGAGGGAATTGAGTGCACCCTCAGCAAGTTTGCTGACGACACCAAGCTGAGTGGTGCGGTTGATACGGTGGAAGGAAGGGATGCCATTCAGAGGGACCTCGACAGGCTGGAGGGCTGGGCTCGGGTGAACCTAATGAGGTTCAACACGGCAAAGTGCAAGGTTTTGCATTTGGGCCGGAAGAACCCCAGGCACCCGTACAGGCTGGGAGGAGTGGTCCTTGAGAGCAGCTCGGCAGAGAAGGACCTGGGGGTCCTGATGGACGAGAGACTGAACATGAGCCAGCAGTGCGCTCTGGCAGCTCGAAAGGCAAATGGGATCCTGGGCTCCATCAGGAGAGGGGTGGTCAGCAGGGACAGGGAGGTGATTGTCCCTCTCTACTCGGCTCTTGTGAGGCCCCATCTGGAGTACTGTGTCCAGGTGTGGAGCCCTCAGTACAAGAAAGACATTGAGATTTTGGAAAGGGTCCAGAGGAGGGCGACTAAGATGATCAGGGGGCTGGAGCACCTCCCCTATGAGGACAGGCTGAGGGAGTTGGGCTTGTTCAGCCTGGAGAAGAGAAGGCTGCGGGGTGACCTCATTGCAGCCTATCAATACCTGAAGGGAACCTACACCCACGAGGGGAGTAAACTCTTCAAAAGGGCTGACAACAGCAGGACTAGGGGAAATGGATCCAAGTTGAAGGAGGGAAGATTTAGGTTGGATGTTAGGGGGAAGTTCTATACAAGGAGAGTGGTTAGGCCCTGGAACGGGCTGCCCAGGGAGGTTGTGGATGCCCCGTCCTTGGATGTGTTTAAGGCCAGGTTGGACAGGGTCCTGGGCAACCTGATTTGAATGTGTGTGTTTGGTGGCCCTGCTAGGCAGGGGGGTTGGAACTACATGATCCTTGAGGTCCCTTCCAACCCGGGTGATTCTGTGATTCTGTGATTCTGTGTGTAATATGTATTGTAATATTTATGTATTTAGCTTCACAGAGATTAACTTTGGAACATGTATATATATTATTTATTGACATTTATGCCCTTCTTGCATCCAGGATGGCCTAACTCAATATCTGTTCTTGATTAAAGTGAGCATCTGGTATTTTACAGATAATTATGAGACATGAGCTTATTGTCCTCTAGGCCTATCAGACAAATTGGAACCGAACTCTCCATGTGGACAGTGAGATATGTTTCAGATCACACCTTTTGCGTTGTACTTCAGGGTTTATCTGTTGTACCCTGTTTGCCAGCAAAAGTACCAGCAACATCAGTGCTATATCCTAGGACCAGAAAGGAAAGAAGTGATGAGGATGTATCCAGCACAGAAGAATAAAATGGGAAAGTTGAAAGCTCTGCTGTTGTTAAACTTTCTCCTTTGTTTACTAATCTGAATTTGTAATCCTTCTTAATTCCTGAGAAATAGGTTTGTCGTACAGCAAAGGAATGAATTCAGGGAGGGGGAATGTAAAAAGCAAGTAGTTAGTGATCAGGATGTTGAGAGTTTTTTCCCTGACACGTTTTCTAGAAAGTTAGGTTAGCTCAGGAGGAAAAATAGCATAAAACCACAGGATGACAGGTATGTACTGCAAGAAGCCTCACAAAATTTTGTCCTCTCTTGTTCTAAAGCAAGGTGCGTAACTCATTGTTCATTATGAGCCATAAACACTAGCTCAACTGTGATTAACATATCCAATATCCACTTATTTGTGTACCCTAGTTCATGGCTACACATGTATTAATTAAAGGAGGTTATTACTCTGAACTTAAGCCTAAAAGAAGAGGATTGCAATCTTTGTTTCTTGGTCTCCTCTCTAACAGCATTTCCTAGAAGAGCAAGCCTGTGACCAGATAACCTAATATGTTTATCTCTGTTAACAGTTCTGATAGCTGCAGGATTTGGTTTCATATAATCATGGAATCATACAATGGCCTGCATTGAAAAGGACCTCAGAGCTCATCTGGTTTGAACCCCGCTGCTGCAAGCAGGGTTGCCAACCACTAGGCCAGGCTGCCCAGAGCCAGTTTATTTTTGCTTTTGGTTATCTGCATGCATTTGAAAGAAGTTGTTGGGTCAAGGGAACCCCAGCAAAATGCTTTTTCTTCAGGCACTTCAGGCACTTGCGTAGTTTTCATTCCTTAGAATCTGTTAAAACACTTGTTTGAAGCCATACGTAGTCTCCGTAGCTGTAACTCCTCCTACAATCATTTGAATATTTAGTAGCTAAGCAAGTTTAGTTTTACTTATACTTTGCACTCGTGTCATTGGTTCTGCTAAGTTCTGCCAATCTGTTGTCATCTTAACTGCAGCTTTTTTCTTTGCCAGGTATTATTAGCCGCCAGGAGGCAGAAGAGCTGCTGATGAATAAATCTGAAGGAACATTCCTGGTGCGAGTCAGTGAGAAAATCTGGGGCTACGCATTGTCTTATCGCCAACAAAGTGGGTTCAAACACTTCTTGGTTGATGCTTCGGGGGATTTCTACAGCTTCTTGGGGGTAGATCCAAACCGACATGCAACACTGACAGACCTTATTGATTTTCACAAGGTAACACTCACTAGGTAGAGATCAATAGTTGAGTGGAGGTGATTAATAATTTAAAGAGTAGCCATGTAATTTGAAACCACACTAGAGAGAAGTAAGGATAGCAAGGAAAGGAATATATCTGTGTATATATTCTAGAGTAAGCTTTGCTTTAACATTTATAGTTGGTATCTTTTGTTGCAGTGCATCGGAAAGCTGTTCCCCTTTCTCTGTAGACATCTCGTTTGTGTTTTCCTTTAAGCAGTCTCAGGCAATGTATACTTTCATAGGCTAAAACCAGACTAATAAGGGTTGAGAGAATTAACACTTTTTGAGCCTCTATGCTTTACAGAATTGCATGGGAAATACCACAGAAAAGGTCTTTGAATGAAGTTTCAGCATTTTTAGAGCCTTTGATGTGAGGGCTGTAATGTGCGAAAGCAGAGCAGTGGAGCAGAAAAGAAAGGAATATAGAGGTTTTCTGTTGTAGAGAGGTGCTAAGAGTTGTTCCTTATCATCCAAAACAACTTTATGAGAGTAACTTAACTGAGGTCTTTGCCGAGTTTAGATGGGTTTGAATTACTTTGTCTCTAACTCGTGTTTCCTGTTTAGCAAAAGGAGACAAAACAGAAGCACTGTTTCTGGTAGCATAGGCTGTTTTCATCACCTCAAATCTTTCTCCAAATTCAAACTAATTCTATTATTTTTTTTTGTTCTTTCATACAGTATTTAATTTTTCCAATATTCAGTCTCACAGTCACTAAGCAGAGATGATTTTTCTTCTAATCTCCCCTTCTGAATCTTTGGTATTTCACTTAGTTTGCAACTTCTCCTCAGTCAGACCTGCAGCTGTAATCTTTAAATTACAACTGTTATTACCAGTACAGCATACTGTAAATCAATTCTTTTGGATTTGATTGGTTTAACAAAATGAACCTGAGTTTCTCAGAATTTGCATGTTATGAAGGAAGAGGAATTATAGCGTGACATTCTTCATAGAAACACAGATGGTCATCAAGGGCAAAAAATCCCAAACTCATTCAGGTTGACTGAAAACAATTTATTTGTTCTGGTTTTGTTATGACTTTTCTCATCCTAGGCAATCGCTGTACTAGAAATCTATTTACAGACAGCAGTAGAGTACTTCTCAGAAGCTGAATAGCTTTTAGTTCGCGCTGTCTAAATTTTTTTAGATATTTCTTGATAATAGGTATTAGTTCCCCCTGTATTAAGCCTATCAGAGTAGCTCCTTCACCTTTAATGTCACCACACAGTTCTCTTTTAAGTGTCTAGCGTAACAGCTACATTAAAATTGTTCCCTTTGACAACCAGCTCTGTAGGCTTCTTTATCCTCTCTCTCATACGGTTTTCTCAGAAGCTTCTCTGCCTGCCTATTCTGGTGATGTACATTGTCAAGTGCCCTACAGCCTTTTGGTAACTGGCTATGCAATTTTGATTTCTCCAAATCATAAACCTTTCTCTTGCAGCTATTGCAATATTATTTGGAGCAATTGCTGCTTCCTCATTACTGTTTTTGCCGAGAGTACAGCTTCCTAATGCAAAAGATGCCAAAATTCCTTGAAGGTTCCTTTTCACTTCCAATCAAAATGAGCAAGGCTGGCATAACTAGTCCTGCAGTTATTAGCGCTTATTCATTTACAACTGCTTCATTTCAATTACAAAAAGTTAATACAAAGAAATCAATCCACTGATTGTTAATGGGAAGAACAAATATCTTGCAGAAAGAATGTAAATTTCCATTTTCTTTGCACCTATGTACTGTGCAGCAGGCAGCAGTAATACAACCATGATATTGCTAAATCCTTGCATTTGCTTTCTCATAACTTTCTCAAAAGCAGTTAACTTGAGTATTAAATTTTCTGAACTTAGCTTGATGAGTGACTGAGGTGGAACCACATCTTGGACTCTGTGTGTGTTCTGAGGAAATTAGGCACCAAATTTCCACTGCATTTTAGTAGAAACTGGATGCCTTTTGAAAAATGTAGGCCTAAAACTTGGATCAAATTTTATGCCATTGCAGTCAGTAACAATGCATGTGTAAATCTCCAACTTATGCAATAACAAAAATGAATTATTATTACTCTAGAAGTAATGCAAAGACCACGTTCTCTACTGTTTTAGTGAGTTCTTTACTATTATTATTCATCTTAGTGATAAATTACTAGAATTACAGGTTTGTCATGCGAGTATCTAATTAATGAAAAGAGGTGCTATTTTTAAAGATTATTTTTGCCTTAGCAAGATTACTATCTTCAGCTTCTCAGCCAGAAAGCTGTTACGCTGTTGTGTGTGAGCACTCAGCATTGCACTCTTGCTCAGTCTTCTTGGGAAAGTTTCCAGCATCGCAAAGGCTGTGGGAGTAGCACAGTAGGACTGCTATGTCTGTTAAAAATTAATCATTCAGAACACTTTTTACAGGCATTTATAGCTGTTTGTCTTAGCATAGCAACTTAGAGGTGAGTCAAATCACAGCATTTTTTGTGCATCAGCTATTTGATACCACTATTTGATACTGGCACAATTTACACAATTTACCACTGACATAAATACCAAATAAAGCAAGAAGAAAATACATAGTTGATAGGATCCCTTAGCTGATCTTATTTTTATCAAGTATGCTTTGTAGCTGATTACCAACAAGTGATATATTTTTAATGTTATCAGCTTTTAGAATTCAGGGAAAGACTTAGAAGTCTATGAATGATACTCTAATTTGTTTTACCTTTCTAGGAAGAAATCATCACATCCTCAGGTGGGGAGCTGCTACTGGAGCCATGCGGACAGCAGAAGAATCCACCAGACTACAGCCCTTTATTTGAGTAACCAGGACTCATTGGAATGTGTTCTGGGTAGCTGCAGTAACAATAGATAGCCACAAAAGTAAATACCAAAAAGTAATTAACAGACTTTATAAGCCACTGGTCTTGTGGCCAAAGAGTGTCCTCATTAGAAGACCCCAAATGTGTCTGGTTCACATGTGATTTATCAAGATTATTCATATTGCAAGCTTTTTTAAAGATGAAAAACTACTGACAGATTACAGATGAGGACTATTTCCAGAAATTTTTAAAAGGTTGTGGCCAATTGTAGTGAAAGCTAAGTTGCTGTCCTAATTTTCCTGACATTTAAGATTGAAAATGCAAAATCATATACTTCTAACAGATTGAAGTATGGTTGGGAACTATTCGTTGAGCCTTATGTAATGCACCAGTATTGCTGATCAAGCTCTTTTTTCCAAAGCAAAATTGTCAGGTTCTATGGATGATCTGTTTACTCAGTTGTGCACTTTCGGAAGCAAGCAATGCAGTCTTAAAATGTCCTTTTCCAGTTTGTGATTGCTCAAATGACTAGATATAGCTGGAGTCTTTGTATCCTGCTTTTCAATACAGACTGGCAAAGTTCACTGCAGCAGAGACAATCGGGGCAGTCATTCTCACTCTGTTTACAGTTACATGCAGTTGAGCTGCCCCAGAAGGAATTCTCCAGTACAAAAAAATGGTCAGTTCGAATAAACTTGTTATTCTGGTAACCACTGTTTGATCTGTAGTAGGAACAACAACTCATACTGACCTTGTCATGTTTAGGTTTTTTCTGATGTACAAGATACGTGCTGGAGATTCCTACTTTTACTTTGCTATAGTACTAGATATCTTCCTTGGTAGTACTAGTTATCTTTCTTGGCTGAGCTGTAAGTGGTACTGTAACATCTCATAACAAATCAATTCAGGAAATGCAGTAAATAAGCAATGCTTATTAGCTGGAGTTGCTCTTAGCATACAGTTCCCAGATAAGACATCTGGGCTTCTCACAGCAACTGAGTTTTCTGAGATAGGACATTATTTAGCTGCAGCTGATAACTTGAGATACCAAGTGTCTTGGAAACTAAATAAAGAGCCAAGATACCCAAGGAGTCTTGGATTTTTTTAAAAAGTATGCTCCTCTGCAGATCACCATAGTCTGGATCCTCAAAATGGAATATAGCTCTGCAATTCTGCATGTAGACTTAATTAACTCCTCTAGTACAATTTCTGGTCTCTGTTAAAGGGGAAGCCTGGTGTGGTATGTCTGATCTGGGACCACAGTGCTCCAGACCATGGAGCTCAGCACAATGGTGATTCTCTGTGCATTTCAAATATGGACACTGTAAAAGCCATAAGTAAGCTGCTTTCCCCTCTGCCCTCAATAGAATGTTCAGCAAGAGCTATCTAAACCCTCCAAGGAGCTCCCATATCTACTACCTGCTTTCTTACCTTCCAGAGGTATGTACCCATACATACCTCTGAGGCCAGAATGCTGAAGAAAGGAATTCACATTCACAGAGACTGTTGAGAATAGTTCTATTCATTTCTAATTAAAAAGTTCTCAGCATGTTCCCTTTATTTATTTATTTATTTACTTACTTACTTATTTATTTTAGGGGTAAGAAGGCCTGGGCATATAGCTTTCTATCCTATGATGTAGTCAACATCATAACAGCATCATCATTTTCACTTTGGACTACATTTCCTATGTTTCCTTAGTTTTGTTAATTTTTCTGCTGATTCCATCCACTTCTCGTTCTATGTTTTACCTAGCTTTAAAATAAATTTCTTTTAAGTTCCTCTGCAAATGAAATTGCTGTCTGGAAAACTGCAATTTCATCTGAGAAATTTATTATGCTAATAAATGTCAGAATTCTCAAATAAAGGAATTGCTTTTTTTTCCATAGCTTCACAGAAACAATGAAAAACAACCAGCCGATTCATAGAGTATCAGCAAAGAAAAACTCAACAATATATAACCAGAAGCAGCAGCAGCAGTGAAATAGAGTGCAACTTGACTTAAGATAAATTTTGAAAGAAACAAAGATCATAGCAAGGAGAAACTAAGAACAGGAACTTCTTGGTAGAGATGTGTGGTTGCTCCCTGCACGGATAAAAAAAAAATGGGGAAAATATACACTGATAAATAATAGGGGGAAATGTGCTTATCCCATAGTTTTGGAAGCATTTTGGCAGTCTGCTGCCCTTGGAGGAAGAGTAGGAACTGCTGCCTCTTCTTTAAAGGTTGCCTTTTTTTCTGCTGGCCTTAGAGCTTTCAGCAGTAAGGTGAGTTTGAGCTCAGTGTACCTCTACATTTGCTGTTTTCTGAAGCTGTTCATCTCCGTGTACTAAATTTTTTCCTCTGCTGCAGTTTCACTGTCTAGAATGGGCAGTTTTATTCTTTTTTGCAGTGACCTTTAAGCCTTGCTTTCTGATCTGTTTTTCTATCAGTAGCTATTATTGGGTCATAAGAGGTAGGTGTTATGGATTTTCATTATAAAATTTCCAGGCTGTTTTTTTTTTTTTTTTTTTTTTTTTTTTTTTTTTTTTTTTTTTTGTCAATGAGACCACTGGGAATATGATAAGAGACCTACTACAATAATCCCTGTTTCACAGGGAAAGATGTTACAGCAATAAGGAAAACTTTTAAACACTTCCCTTTATGTCTGTTTCATAGCAATAAAAAAAGTGGCATGCAAGTTCCCATGCTTATTGGCACACATCTTTGAAAAAGCAGCTCCTGAGGGTTATTCTTACTTTTTCTTGCATTTGTTCTTTCTAGTTTTGTTTTAATCTGTTGTATGTGCATACATAGATATTTCCTATTTGCTATTGATGTCACCTCTAAGGAAGGGCAAAAAATCAAGCAAAGGAATTGACAGTAGTCATGGATGAGATTTTCAATGCTCCTCAAAGAATGTAGGTGGCAGCCTATTATTTCCTTTAATTACTGTAATAAAGTAACTATCTAGAATGAGTGTATTTACATATTACTACTTGTATAAAAGCATAATCCAAACTAGCTATTAAGTTCTGAATCCTTTTTGTGCTGATGAGGTATTGAACAAAAGATAGCTCCTGCCTCAACACATATCTATGTAAAAATGCTAGCTGAAGTGGAGATTAGTTTCAGACTTACTGAGTAGAAACTGTTCATAAACACCATGAATTCAGAGAGAGAATTTCCACTAGATTTCAATGGCTTTGAATCAAATCCGTAAAACACATTTCTCTGCTGAAGTGAACCAGGGTTAACTCACTGACGACAGTAAAACAATTCAGTTTTCAGAACTAGAGATCTGCTTCAGTTCATTCTCTTAAGTCCCTGCAAGCCTGGCTGCAGAGCATTAATGGAGTTACACTGCATTTCTCTGCAGTCTGAATTCTTCTCTTAATGCAATAAAACAAACTTGATCTCAAGTAAAAAAGGGCTGTTTACAATGAGAGAAAATTTTTTCTTCTTTTCTGTTAGTGAATTTATTTGCATCATTTACTAATTTGAGTCTATTTTTCAATGACTTTCAAGGACTGACTTTCTTTTGTCTTATTCTGCCTTTGCTTTAGAATTTCTTTTTCTATTCTTGAGAGAATGGGTTTAGTGACCTCTGTGAAGTAATAATGTGTCCCTGGCTGGGCTATCAGTTGCAGAATGATGTGTTTGCACTTGACCAGATGTTTGATTTGTGTTTCCTGAGATAAATCTTTTGACATACTGTCTGATGATAATGATACTTAATTGATTTTTTATAGCTAGTTTCTTGCCGCGCAAGTGCTGCATGAAACCTCTTCAAATATTTGTTTACTGCTAGCAATTAGTCCTGTAGCTTGTACACTTACATTATGAGCCGTAGCTAATGCAAATTTTCTACTAGGCTGGAGCCTTCAGTGAATTTTGTTTCTACTCTCTTGGACTTTCTTCCAGTAGTTTTAAATTAAGGTAACAATTTTATAGTTTCTTTATTAAATGTTGATATTTGATTTTTCTTATGGAGAATAAATCAGTTTAAAAGAGGTTGGACATTAGTTTGGTCTTAATTGTGTCCTTTTGATGTGTGTGTGAAGGAAACACTTAGCATGTTAATGTCTCCTTTAAAGTTCTGCTGCCATTTCTACCCTGTTCTCAGTTTTAATGAGAATTCTGTGTGGAAGAAGGTCATGCACTCGTGAACAATTGAGAGAATAGGAAAGAAAAGGAGCTCAGATTGTCTTTATTTCACAGAGTTTTACGTATAACAGTTGGCCAAGTCTTGTATTTAATATTTCATAAGACACGGTGTTTTACCTGCTTAGCATTCGGGGGATCTAGGGTGAGACTTACTGACATTGCTTTTGTACAACAGCAACAGGAAGATACTCATACAGCATGTAACTCCCAAATGGAGTTGAATGAGTAACATTAGGAATAACATTAGGTACTCCGAGAGTGGTACAAAAGTAGTGTATAGAAAGAGTAAGTGAAAATTTAGATCAAGAATACAGTAAAGACAATTTGTATATAGCTATGTAGAGCTAGGAGTGTTTACATATCCTTATTTGGTAGAATTTCCTTTTGTCATTAATGCTCAATCCATGTGAATACATGAGCAATATTAATTCTATTATTCCAAAAATTCCGGGGATGTAGATTGCCTGAAAGGGAGATCAGAAACAGTTCTCGCAGACAAATTATTATGCATTACTATGTGGTATTTGGGGCAGAGAATTTTTAGATTTATTGTACATAACTGCTGGGATGTGAGAATGTAGGAGATAAACACTGCTCACCACATAAACCATAATGAAATTTTGTCATTTTTATAGCACTTGAAATTCAACAAGGAATAAAGCTGTCCCAGGTTATACTCCTCTCTTGTAGGAAATGCTGTCCGTGCCATAAAAAAAACAGAAACTTATCTAGGAGATTAAACTTAATAATGGACTTAAATACTACAGGAAATCATTTCAGAGGCCTACGTTAAACACAGCACCACTCTTAGTAAGATAACCTATTGTGCTTTCTTCTTAGTTCTCGAACCCCTCTTG